TGTATAAACAGAGGTTTAATAAGTTGATTAAAGTGGATATTTATATGGGTTGAGGAAGCAGTTGGGGATTACTGAACACTGGGTGTATTTGGTATGCGATCCCAGGGGGTGGGAAGCCTTTGATACCAAGAGAAAGAAATGGATGGTGCTGCCAAAGATACCCTGTGATGAATGTTTTAACCATGCAGATAAGGAGTCCTTGGCTGTTGGGAGTGAATTGCTGGTTTTTGGGCGTGAATTATTTGAGTTTGCAATTTGGAAGTATAGTTTGATTCATCGTGGTTGGATCAAGTGCGAGGGAATGCACCATCCTCGCTGTTTGTTTGGATCAGGTAGTATTGGTTCTATAGCTATTGTTGCAGGAGGGAGTGATAAGAATGGGAATGTTTTGAAGTCTGCAGAGTTGTATGATTCTACATCAGGTACATGGGAAATGTTACCTAACATGCACTCGCATCGTAGGCTGTGCTCTGGTTTTTTTATGGATGGCAAATTCTACGTTATTGGTGGGATGTCAAGTCCTACCACATCTTTGACCTGTGGAGAGGAGTTTGATTTAGAGACGAGGAAATGGAGGAAAATTGAGGGAATGTATCCAAATGTTAATAAGGCTGCTCAGGCTCCCCCTCTTGTGGCAGTTGTGGATAACCAGCTATATGCACTTGAATACCTTACCAACATGGTGAAAAAGTATGACAAGGAGAAGAACACATGGCATGTGCTGGGAAGACTTCCAGTCAGAGCTGATTCATCGAATGGCTGGGGCCTGGCATTTAAGGCTTGTGGGGAGGAACTTCTTGTTGTTGGTGGGCAACGTGGTCCTGAAGGCGAAGCTATTGTGCTGAACTCTTGGTGTCCAAAGTCAGGGATCAAAGATGGCACCTTAGATTGGAAGGTCCTCGGGGTGAAGGAGAATATTGGTGTGTTTGTATACAATTGTGCAGTCATGGGTTGTTGAGGATACGTTTAGATTGACTACAGGAGGTACGGGCATCTACAACATGATCTTGCTTTTTAGGATGCTTCCCTGCATATTTTCTCTGATTGACTAGGATTAATTTTCAACTGATAGATCCTTTTGAAGCTGGGATTAGGAATCCTTCACTTAACGTGGCTGTATTTGATCGTGTGTCCAACTTCTGATTCTGCAGTTTTATTTGCTTTTGATAGTACTTTGAGGTCACTCTGAGAAATGTTCTGTTCTCTTATCTTGTTCTTCAACCATTTCTGATCCCAGCCAACTATTTACACCAATAAATTGAAAGGTCGTATTCTTTTACATATGCTTTCTCTTTCATTCTTTTTTGCTTTGGTGCTGTATGATTTTATTTTGTATACCAGGGAAAATAAAGTACTTCTACTTGGGGAATTAACAAAATTAATCTCTTTAGGGCAAGAGAATGGTTGTATCTCATTGTTAGTTGATTACTAACAGATAACTGATCTATACCAGTTTAAAATGCTGCTATGTTTTTGTATTAATATGGATTTTTCATCGAAGCAACAAGCAATTATTTTGTACAACAGTATACACTGAATTGACATTGACCCATTATTATCAGTAGCTTTATATACAGCTCCGTAAATTTTGCTTCTAATAATAATGAAAACATATCCATGTGCATAGCATATGAAAATTGTAAGTAACTGTGTGATGGATGCAAAAGCCATAGGTGAATTATGGTGTTGATCTTTGTTGTAGATTCAAGCATATGGTCCTGACTTTTTTCCGTGGGAATTTTCGATTAACAATCCTCTTTTTTTCTCTCTTCTGCATTCTTTCTGATTATCTGCTTTGTTGAATCCATACTGAGGACTCGACTAACTGGTTCTCTCCATGTTTTTCTCCGATCTCTCAAAAAGTTCATGACTTCCAATCAACAGGCCTTTCTCTTCTGCAATCTCTCCGATCAATCTAAAACAAAATAGGTCATTCCCTTGAGGTCTGTAAAACCTGTGATTGTGGTGAAATAGTCTCCTCCTCCATTTTTAGAATCTTGCAGAGTTTATTGGTGGGAAGAGGGCTCGATTATAGTGTCAGCACATGGGATCAATTTCTGACCCCATTATACATCTTATATTGTAAGCATGTTATGATGTTAATATTCTGTGTCAGCACATACCCAAAAACAAATAACTGTAACCCATTATTATTACATATATTTCTCTCTATATATATATTGCACCAAAAAGTTCCACCAAACAGTTGTTCTCTTTTCTCTTCTGGGAAATGCAAAGAGTATGAGATTTTCCAAATGTAATGCAATTTCTGTAACAACACTCATCAAACCCTTGATTTACCTACCATACATGGGTTGAATGTGTATATATATATATATATATACACACACATATGCATGTATATGTATGTATCTGGGGTTGGGTCAATGGAGTGATGGTGTAGACCATGTGAATCAATGCCTTGGCTCGGGTAGAGTCCAGCTAATCAGGCTAAATGTATGATTGAATTGAATGTAAGCATAATTCGTATTTATTATTTTTATTTTATTTAAATGTATGAGAATATATATATATATATATATATATATATATCTTTGTAGGTGGGAAAGGAGGTGGCGGTTGAGTATAAGATGAATCAAGCGGTTATGCCAAACTATTGATAAGGGAGGGGCCCACTCTGGGCCCAAACATATCATTTCAGACACCCCATACCAGGGCCCAAATGAAGACAAAAGCAGCAAATGATACGCCAACATAAAGCCATTACCCCCATCATCAATCTTTATATATATATATATATACACAACTATTTTTATTATTTAAAAATATAAAATTAATAATTTAATTGAATTTCATCATTTAATAAATATTTTATTTATTGCATTTGTTTATGTAATGCTCATCAATCAATTATTACAGGGAATTTACTTAATAAATTACTCCATTATTTACAAGAGAATTATAATTTTTATATTTTTAGACATATGATAAGTTTACTTTTATTTTTTATTTAATAATTATATTCTCTTACCAACTTTTTTATTATAATTATTTTTTAAATTCAATTAAATAAAATATAATTAATTTCAAAATTAAAAAATTTCAAAATTTTAATCTTGGATTAAGGATAAGGTCTTTTTTTTTTAAATAATAATAATATGTACATTTTTTTTATTACGTTATTATATTCTAAAAAATCATTACATTATGATTATGCAATTTGAAAATCATAATATTATGTATTTATTTTATGTACGATAAATATATGTATAAGAAATAAAAAAATAATAAACAATAAATTCAAAAATTGTTACTTTTTAAGTATTTAGGTCTCGATATTTTAAATCTATTTTCTAACAAATGCAAAAATTATTTACATGAATAAAATATTTGCTCGTATAATAATTTATTCCGAAAAAGAAGATATTAAAAGAAAAAGCCAAGTCATTCACACGTGTGGAATTATTAGTACTGCGACACATATCCAAATCCAAATAGTCACAAGTGTGGCTCGTGCGGTAATTCATGATTAAGCGGCTCCTATGGGTTAATTAATTGGAGATTAATCCTTTAAATTACATACTTAATCAATTATTAACTAATACTTATTTTCTTAATATAAGTTTCATGACCTGATTGTCCCTTTCCTTGATTTTACTGATTGCAGAATCAGAGAAGGACAAACAAAGGGAATCAGTTCTACTTCTAAGGTGCAAAAGCTTCTCCATCTTTATCAATTATTTTATCTTTTATGTTTTGATAAGTCTGTCCTCTTTTTTTTTAATAAAAAAATTTACACTTGAAAGTTATGAGCTGTTTGTTTGCCGAGAAAATCTGGGGAGATAGAAAGAAAATGATCCAAAGTTTATCCCAAATTTATCGTTATTTGAAACAATTATGAAAACCGAAGATTCAGGCAGAAGTCTATTAGGTTAGTTTATTTTGTAGAAAGCTTTGGACTCAAATGGAATGTTTAGGCTGAGAAAATCCTTTATTTTCTTATTTGATTGTCGTGGGTTTTCTCATCAACACAACAGAAGATTCAAGAAGAATTCGAGGAAATGGGAAATACTACAAGCGGTGCTGTATCGGGGAGGAGACACCATAACCACCATCATCCACCAACAGCACCACCATCGCGGTCAACACAAGCACCATCGGAGGCTTCACATCCCCAAATCAATGGAAACCATTATGTATTTGCTGGCTCTGCATCTTACTCTTCTTCCCCATACCCTAACCCTAACCCTAACTTCACTCAGTACAATCAGTATCCAGGCTACTATATACCACAACCTATGCCAGCTTCCCGCAATTACCATCGTGTTCCTGGTGGTCTGCACCCTTGTGGAGCTCCTCCCATTCCGGTTAGCCCGTTTGTTGAGCACCAAAAGGCGGTAACTATTAAGAATGACGTGAATATCAAGAAGGAGAGTCTTAGGATTGAGCCAGACGAGGAGAATCCCGGGAAGTTCCTTCTTGCTTTCACTTTTGATGCAAATGTGGATGGAAGGTAAAATCCTAACTCACTCAATATCATCTGTTTAAACAGAAAATTCACTAGTTTGTGATATTATTGTTCTGGTTATGTCAACTGGATACTGGTTTTCGCAATTTGTCTTGGTTGTGGTACTATGCTTTTTCATGATTTTGGATGTGTGGATTTCGGAATTGTGAGTCAAGTGAATGAATAATGATTGAATTAATCCAAAATAAGCATATGAAAAAAGATCACTGTGAAATGTGTTTGATTTGAAAGAAAGTGTACTTTCTCATGAAGTAATTGAATTCTCGATTAGTATAATCCTGAAATTGAAGAGGGCATTTTTAGAGTAAGCAACATTTTTATTTTCTGTCTAGTGTGTGATCATTAGGGTATGCTTTTATCTATGGTTACTTTGTTTTGAAAAGACCAGTTATTTATGCAGTTTAATTTATTCTTTTAATGGTTTTTTTTTCTAAAACAGCATTACCGTCGTGTTTTTCGCCAAAGAAGGTGTTGACTGTAAGCTGCTTTCAATGAAGGAAGACACGATTAAACCATTCACTTTCTCTTTCAAACAGGGTTTTGGACAGAATTTCAGACAACCTTCTGGAACAGGAATTGACTTGTCAGTTATTGAAAACACACAGTTAGTGAAGGAGAATGCTGGTGATACAGAAGTCTATCCTCTTGTTGTGAAGGCTGAGACACACAAAGAGAACCACAATGGATCAGAAACAAATCCCACTAGAAACTGCCAGATCACCCTGGCAGTATTTGAAAAAAGAGAGGAAAAACATGATTATCAGGTGCGAGTGATGAAACAGATCTTATGGGTAAATGGAATGAGGTATGAGCTGCAAGAGATTTATGGAATCAGGAATGCGGTTGATGGTGAGCTTGATGAGAATGATCCTGGCAAAGAATGTGTCATCTGCTTGTCTGAACCACGAGATACAACTGTCATCCCTTGCCGACATATGGTACACGCTGGTTTTTTTGTTTTTCCTGTCACATTTAGATTGTTGACATAGAGAAATACAGATATTTATGCATGTGTATGAATTTATAGCTGTCCTCTCCACACAAGGCCAAGAACATGCCAGTGGTTCTGATGGTCCATAGACTAGAACCCATAAGCAAGTTGCATAGCTAAACAAAATGAATTTAATGAATGACTAGCTTCTTATAAAAGAAAAAAGATGATGGTGACATATAATTATGATGATTGTCCATTTTGCTGATCACCTACTCAACTAGTAGAAGCACTTTCTGCTTGAGGATGGTGGTAGTGTCAAATTTTCTAGAGGTCACTAGTTTGATTTATAGCTGCTAAGCATGTAAAAAGTACTTCATTTACTTCAATCTAACCCGTTTTTCCTTTTAACATTATGCAGTGCTTGTGCAGCGAGTGTGCCAAGGTTTTACGTTTTCAAACAAACCGCTGTCCTATTTGTCGACAACCTGTTGAGCGTTTCCTTCAAATTAAAGTGAATGGTGGGCCTTATGATTGAGGATTTTCTAGTGCCAAGAAGAAACGGTTGCTTTTCAATGTAGGTTGACATGTTTTGACAAAGCTAACTTTACAAATAGGGGTTTTGGTGTGATACACAGGTTTGATGTTCTTGACTCACATAACGTAATTATCTTCCATGTTGCTCCAAGTTTTAAATTATTACAAGTTATAAGATGCAATAAAACAAAAATCAAACTATTAGTTGTATGGAGAATCCTTATATTGATCTCGTAGAGAAGGTGGTGCGAGGAGACTTGGTACGGTTACTTGTTAACCAAGTATCTTAAACTTCGCTTTCACTGAATCAAACAGTAAACAGAATATAAATCACGGTTACTTGTTATCGTACCGGATCAGTCTGAAATTTTCTGTTCTGTAGATTGCAGCAGCAGTTTGTAGGGAAGTACGAAAAAGAAAATTATCCAAGCCTTGTGGTGTTTTTGACTGTAAAATTCTCATCTTCTCTTAATATCTCAGGTGTGAAATGGCTTTTTAATGCGGTTTCTTTGCTGGCTGCCAGACTTGATGAAATCAGGACCCAACCATGAGATAGTTTGCTGGGTGACTCTGTTGTAATAGCAAATTGTTTTTATGAGTCGATAAAATTTTGTGGGAAAAATTTTCAGATTTGACCAGATTTTGTCTGATGACAAACTGGGTTCCCATGCTATTGTTTAATATGAGTTGAAAAAAGTTTGTGAAAAATTTTCAGATCTGACCAAATTTTGTATGATGAAAAACTAGGTTCCCAAATGCTAGCAGTGAATTTGGAGAAGAAGCCTGCAATGGCCATACAATCTTGTCCATAGGATTTTTAAGATTTGTATAAATTTAGGTAGACAAAAGATTTATTTATATATATATATATATATATACACACACACACACACATATATTGCATCTCATGGTCCAAAATACAAATAGATAACAAAGTAAAAAATTACCCAAGTGCTATCATACTGGAAATTCCTAATATTTTAGTATCATTCAGTGAATTATATATATTTTTTCAATTTTTATCAATTCTCAGCAAAATTCACCATGAATTATATCTTTTAATTCTTTTTATGGAAGAAATTTTTTTGGCTTATTTAATCTAATACACATCAAAAATTTAATTTTAAATTAAAAAACAAAAGAAACCTTTAAACAAGTACTGTCAATTTCCACTCCATACTCAAAATTTAATTGTTAACTTTAAGTAGATCAAACTAATTCCAACTCCATTTATTTGATTAAAACCCAAAATTTTCTTCTCATATTTTCAACTTAGGGCCATGATTAAGTTGAATCTAAAGTCCATTACTTTGTGGCTGTGTAAGCGGGCCCAGCTCAAGAGCTCAAGCATTTTTCCTCTGCAGCCTCCCCCATCCCTCCTCCATAACCACCGGCGGGAAGTCACCGTCGGCAATGGCAGGGCCTTGAATTTTACTCCTCAGTTCAGCTCGTTCAACTGGACCTATACTACGGTCGAGGGGAGAGCTTGAGCTTCAGAAAGCTCCTGCTTTATTTCCATCTCTTTCGCGGCGCACTTTCACTGAAATCAAACCTCTCTTGACAGACTTGACGGAAACTTTTCGCATGCCACAAACCGATCATCACCGGTTGGTGAGCTTCGGTAGTGTCTGCTTCTCGCTGTTTCTACGTGGATAGCTTCTGCTCCCTTCGTCAAACGCAAGGCCTTAGGTAATCCCTTCGTCTTTCCCTCAAACTTTGTTGTTCATCAGATTAGGTATCTAAACTCATGGTATTTGATAGGTTATATTTTGATGCTAAATATTTGGTTTAGTCACCTTAGTTCGAACTTAGGAATTTCGAGTTTGATTTGTTTTGATTGGAAGATTTTAGTCTCACAGCAGTCCTAGGTTTAGCTTGAATTAGTTCGCTAATCTGAACGTGGAAGCTTGGCGAACAAATTGAGAAATAATTCCTGCAAGTGTCCCACTTCAGTAGCAATTTTTGTGTTTGATCTTAGAGTATAAACTGAATATGCAAACAATATTCTGGGTTTTGCTTTTTTCTTTACTAGATACCTGTAGATTAACAGGTGTTGTAGCTTTTAACTGACGAAAGCATACAGGAATGGAAGTTATATTGTTCTTTTCATGGTACATATGGAACTTTTTATTCTTGGTAGTTGGAAAAACTAGTGCATGCTATTAATGTATTTTATCCTCAACGGAGGTTGAAGATTTTAGTTGAAAATTCTTTTGGTGATCTTCTGGGCAGTGATTTCAGTGGTTAGTCGTGGTGAAAATTTTGCTGTGTTTGATGAGACCATGTCCGGGACAATGTTGGGAAGGGAGGTATATGAAAGACGGGTGCGAAACCAATTTTTTGGTTGATGACAGATATGTCATCAAAAGTGAATGCCATCCTCACTCTGTTACAAGGATGCAATAGCCTCAAGAGACTTCAAAAAATTCAAGCCCACGTTATAGTTAACGATCTCGAGCACCACCCTGCAATTTCCAGCCAACTCCTCAACTTCTGTGCTGTCTCTGTCTCTGGCTGCCTAGCATATGCTTGGCTTCTCTTTTCTCGCCTTCACAATCCCCAAATTGAAGCTTGGAATTCCATTATCAGAGGCTTTTCACTCAGTCCTTTTCCTCACCAGGCTCTTCTCTTCTATAATCGCATGCTTTTCACTTCCTCTTCCAATCCAGACACCTTCACTTTCTCCTTCGCGCTCAAGGCATGCGAGAGACTCAGGACTCTTGCCAAATGCCAAGAGCTTCATGCTGCAATTATTCGAAGTGGATTCTTGGGAGATGTTGTAGTCTGCACTAGTCTCATCAAATGCTATACAGGGAATGGACTGACCAACAATGCGGAGATTGTTTTCAACGATATGTCTCAACGGGATTTGGTTACTTGGAATGCCATGATTTCTTGCTACTCAAAGGCTGGTTTGCCTCACCATGCCTTGAACCTGTATGCTACAATGCAAAGGGAGGGCATGGGGCTGGATGCTTTTACGCTTGTTGGCCTGCTGTCATCTTGTGCTCATGTGGGTGCTTTGGGCATGGGAATTGAGTTGCACAGGATTGCCTGTGAAAGGGGCTTTGACACAAATGTTTATATTGGGAATGCCCTCATTGACATGTATGCCAAATGTGGCAGCTTGAGTGATGCTTTCCAAATCTTTGATGGGATGCGCAAGAGAGATGTGTTTACTTGGAATTCCATCATTTTCGGGTATGGGGTCCACGGTCATGGCACTGAAGCAATCTCCTTGTTTGAGCAAATGCTTATGGCTGGAATGCAGCCGAACTCCATCACATTTCTTGGTTTGCTGTGTGGTTGTAGTCATCAAGGCTTAGTTGAGGAGGGGGTTAAGCATTTCCACATGATGGGATCTAGGTTCAATGTAAAGCCTGGAATTAAGCACTATGGATGTATAGTTGATCTTTATGGGCGGGCAGGCAAACTAAGTAAGGCACTCGAAGCAATACACATGTGTCCTACGCAGGATGATCCAGTGTTGTGGCGAACTCTACTTGGCTCTTGTAAGATTCATAGGAACGTGGAAGTGGGAGAAGTTGCCATGGCGAAGTTGGCCCAGCTTGGGGCGTTCAATGCTGGAGACTGTATTTTACTAGCTTCCATATATCTTCGGGCCAACGATGCCCAAGGTGTTGCGAGAATGAGAAAGCTGATTAAAAGCCAAAGAATAAAAACAACTCCTGGTTGGAGCTGGATTGAAATTGGCGATCAAGTTCACAGATTTGTTGTGGATGACAAGTCACATCCTGATTCTGCACAGGTTTATCAAAAATTGAGTGAAGTAATTCATAGGGCCACCTTGGCAGGTTATGTGCCAGATGAATCTCATGTCTTTGAAGAATGCTTGGGATCACTGGGCATATGTCATAGCGAAAAGCTAGCAATAGCTTTCGGGCTGGCCAGAACTCCAGAGGGAGCAAGTCTCCGTATAGTGAAGAATCTGAGAGTTTGTAGGGATTGCCATTCGTTTACCAAATTTGTTGCAAAAGCTTTTAATCGAGAGATAATTGTGAGGGACAGAGTTCGATTTCATCACTTTAAAGGTGGAGTTTGTTCTTGCAGAGATTACTGGTGAAAAAGAAGATATTGAGACCAAAGTAGCATCATATCCAACAAGCACTTCTGTATCAAGATCTATTTATTCTTTTTTCAGGCTAATACAACAGCATACAGATGCTTACTGCATACGAACAGATGTAAGATCTGTCAAATTAATCTTAATGCCATGGTTCACTATCCTACTTCTTTCTTCCACTCTTACGAAACGAGACCTGTAAGCATATGATTTGATAATCCAGAAGAATCTCTTGAACATATAACTTCATCTACAAGGAAGAAGTCCTTCTTGCTATGGATCCAAATGTCTAAATGGTGGCAATTGCTGATTCTGGATTTGCAGTACCTTGTCAAAAACCAGCTATGATCCAAAACCAGATCTCACCAATGTGAGGAAAGTCAAATGTCTGAAATTTCTCTGTCTAGCCTCACCAAAGTGGGACATGAGCTGCACAAGGAGTTTTTTTTAGACATTAATATGAGGTAACTACAATTACCTCATGTTTTTTGATCTTATTGCTCTTCAAATTTTGTGCATTTTCTTTATGACAGTTCAGTAATTTGTGATTAGTTGTTTGTTATATTACATAAAACTAGTAGTTATTCTAGAGGACATGTTCACATGTCTGAAGTTCTAAACCCAGACATGTTGATATGATAATAGCCTTAAAAAGCTAGTGATTTTGGCAAACTGATACAAGATCAAACAGCAAAATACTCAATTCTCACATGATTCACTGATTTTAAATTGCAATAAAGTCAATTAACATTAGGTAAACTATAATTTTCCATAATCATGATGTACCAGTTCACCTGATAAAAACTTTAGACATAAAACGCCAAATTCATGAGAATGCGTGTATCTTTTTTATGCAGTTTAGCTTTACCCCAACATAATGCATATAAACATACTACCAACCCAAGGAGATAGTCCAGCAAAGTATTAGATTGACACACAGCTGAAGCTATATAGAAAGATAAAATTTGTATTGGAAAAAGTTTTCTTTGGACACCTCTTGTAAGAAATTGAGACATCTACCAATTAAGGCCTATGGTCCAATAACATAGCCAACAAAGTCATGTAAATCCAAAAACAATAAACTTTTATAGTAAAAGTTTACATTGAAGCATCATAGACGACAAATAAACATGTGCGAAAGGTTAGTACATTTAACATTTAGTGCATGTTTGGTTCTGTTTAATATGTCCTAAGAAATTCTGTGATCAAATTTGATTTTGCAATGTTTGTTTTCAATAAATAACTTTGTAATGAGAGTTGTAATGTTATCACAATCACATTTTTAGCTGTAATTTATTACCTTACAAGTCTACATTATATAAAATGATTGCTTTACCCTCATATTTCAAACAATTTTCAAATCATGTTCCTAATTCTCACAGTACCATTCAATTTCTTTGCAAAATGCTTTCTCGCATCCAGCATTCTCCATCAATCTCTGTAAAATGGGTATCTTCAGGCTCCCATAGTTATCTCTCATCATCATGACTTCTGTAATGCTGTCTCCTCTTATTCCCAGTCATTTTATCTTCTAGCCAAGCTAAACATAGAATCCTCCTTCACTTCCACAGGCCAGTGACCTGCCCCCTTTTGCTTCTTGCCTCTTCTTCTTCTTCATGTAATGATAACACACTCAAGGAGACCAACACTTACCTGCCTCCTTCCTCAAGGCCAATCTTCAGTATAACATCCATCCCCTAAATTAAATAGAAGAAATGTAAATAAATAAATAAAATTGGAGTTAGGATTTAAATGAAAGAATTTTACAAATTTTAGAGCTTTTAATCAATTTTAAAGATGCAAATGAAAGTAGTTAAGAAAAAAAAAAGGATAAAAACATAAATAAGAGAAAGTAGAAGGGGGCAAGAGAAATCAAGAAAATGGACGGCCTAAATCGGACCGCTAGAGGAGATCAGATGGAAGAGATTTAAAAGAAAACAGACAGTTAGATCGAGCTTATGAGATCTAATGGCTGGGGGAACGAGTATAAAAGGGAAAGAGATTATGGTTTCTTCATTTGGGAGAGAAGCCAAAAAAGAGAGAGGGGCGATCGGGGAGAGAAGGAAGAGAGGGTGTCGCGCGGGGAAGCGAGAGAGAGAAAAGAGAGTGGAAAGAAGAGAGAGGTCGGAAAGGAAGAGGGGAAGGGAAAAGAAAGGAGAGGAAGGGAAAAAAAAGAGTGTGGCCGAGTGGGAAGAGGAGGAAAGCCGAGAACGGCCGCAGGGGGAGCAGAAGAGAGAGAGTCACGGAGGCGGAAAGCCGAAGAGAAGGGAAGGAAGGGAAATCGCAGCCGAGGAGCACCGTGTGACGACAGAATCCAAAATCGAGACTGTTCGGATTTTTCGAGCATTGCACCCGAGCCAGGTGCGTTCTTTTTCCTCTTTCGGTGTGTGTTTTTTACCAAACGAGTATTCATGTGTGTGTGTGTGCAAGTTTGGAAGCTAGAGAGCTGCGGGTGACCGAGAGAAGGCGACCAAGAGCCAAGCAGAGGTCGAATCGCTCGCACCGAAGGTAAAATTGTTTTATTTTCGTGTTTTGGTGGTGGTTTGGGCAGCGGTGGAGCGGGACTGGTGTCAGGATGGCTGCGCAAGCTCGGCCGGGCCACCCACCCGCGTGGGAACCAAGGAAGTTCCCTCGGGAATGAAAAAACCTACCCACCGTGGAAGTCGAAGGGTCTTCTGCGGGAATGGAGGCCAGAATCACCTTTTGAGATTCTGATTTACCGTTTAGGAAGCTGAAAAGTATTCTTCGAAAACAAGAATCTGATTCGCTGAACGAGGAGTCAAAAGGTTTTTCGGGTACTGATCCCGATAATTTTGGGTATTATAGAACTTGTGATTTGATTTAATTAATTTTTAGTATTTCAAAGTATATTAATTAATTTATTTCGTGTGTACAGGGAATTATGATATTCAGACGGATTCGGGAAGACACGTAAAAGCGTAAGTATTTTTAAATCTTAACTGGGTTTAAATTTCAAAAAGTGCATTCATTTCATAAAAATTATGAATTTAAAATTTGAACGCATATTGACTCAATTTTCGATAAAAAGTAGAACCCAAATTTATGACCAGTGAATCTAAGCAATTTGAAATTATGAGGAGATGAAATCAAAAAACAGACCCAAAATACTGAGGAATATTTGGACTCTGATGAGATATGAATTGAAGAATTAAGAGAAATTCCTAATCAAGTGAAATTTTGAAAAAGAAAAAGAAATAAAATAATAAAATAAAAAATAGAAAGTAAAAGAAACAATTATAGTGGTGAAATGATCAATTAAATAAAATTTCAGAGAAATTAATATAAGAGTAAAATAAATAAGAAATTAGAAATGAGGAATTGTGAATAATTAGAGTATGGACCCTGAATGTCATTTCGTTTAGTCTGAACTGAGGAGAGGAGTGTATGTGCGGCTGAAGTTCAGTGAGTATGGTGAACTTGCACATGGATAAAATATGAAACTTAATCCAAACTTTGATAGGTGTTTGTGAGAGTGAGTCACCTAGCAAACTTATTTGTTGTGGCCATTGTAGAATTTATGTGTGTATGCGATCCATGCAATAGGGGGATCTATTTCGCCTTTTCTTGATGACGATATAAATGGCATCGCGCGATAAAATTATAAAAATAACTTTTCAAGTGTATATGTGATCTTTTGTATGTGTAATTATATTCGAAATGACGATTGATATTTGAGTATATTTATGACTTTCGAGAGTATGAGTATATATATTTGAGGTTTGTATATAATATTCGAGAGAATTCAGAAGATCGATCAGAAATATGTAAAATAATAAAAATAAAAAAATGAATTTTGCACTGAAACATTTTTATTACTTTTGTTTCTTACCATTTGTTTTTCATGAAATTTTATCTGAGTTGAAAGAATGGGAATACTTATTGAGTTGATGAAATTCATTAAATATTACTTTCATATTTTTCATAGGAAAATGAAGAGTCAGCACCGCTGTTAGACGAGTAGAACCTATAAAAAGATTCTTGTTTTAGTATATTTTGTGCATATTCGAGAAGTTTTATTTTATTTTGTTAGATTCTAAATTCTGAGTTCATATTTTATATATATATTTACTGTACATATCACATGCGAAGTTAGGTTGTATTATATATTTTTTTATATATGTATATGTATATTTTGTAGACTCACTGCATGAAAATGACATAAGTAAGAATTACGTTTTATATAATACAACCTTGACATCCAGCCTTGTGCTTTTCTTGGAACTAGAAGGTAAATTTCCTGTTTTCTATCTGATTTTATTTTTGTTCTTTCTATATAAAATCTAGTGATACTCCCTTTTACATTTAATATTTGTTATCTTCTGTACCTGATTGAAAGTTTGAGTTGGAGTTTAAACAATAAAAATCTTTTGACTCTGTGATTGATTTTTGTACGCAGTTGGGGTCATTCATCTCCTTTTCTTTCAATTATAAACATGAGCTGATGGTCTATATTACCTGTTTTGCAAAAGACATACTTTCTGACGGCTGGTCAAATCCTGGATTGGAGCTGCTGACTTTCTTTATTAATGTAATATAATGCCCTATCAGTTCAGTTCATTCCGGTGGTGATCCCTATTTATAATGGTGATTTGCAGCCTTCTGCGGTCTTTATTCAAGGCAAAAACAAAGTAATGTAAAATACAAGTACGTTGGAAAATGATATTCGGTAAGGAAGCACAAACTGTTTTTGAGCACCCTACGTATGATCCTGTCAAGATGGTTTCCTTTGCTTTTTGCTTCATCTCCATGCTTGACTGTATGGTTTAGTTATGAAATTTTGGTTGGAAATTACTGTGGTCAAGGCCTGATTAGGAGTAACATTCATGGTTGGCTTATGCATCTTATGGTTCTGAGGTCGACTTGAATATATTATTAAAGAATCTGACAATGTCAAGATAATTTTGTAATGATGCTCTTCTTTATATGGGTCGACCATATATTAAAAATAGTTTAGAACGATTAGTACTTTTACTTGTTTTTTACGAAAATGTGGATTCGAGACTCGAACTCGATCATACACTGTTGCATGCAGGGGAGGCCCAGTTTGCATGTTGATACGAAAAAAGACTATTTTATATATTTGACACCTTTATTAGAGGCTAACAATTTTTTTGCTTAAACCTTTTGTTAGAGGCCAACCTATTTGAAATTTGACACTTTTTAAATGGCAAAATGAGCAGGTTAACTGCTAAAAATTAAATAATAATAATAATAATTTAAAAAACTTAACCCAAAAATACAAATAAAGGGTGGTATATAAACCACTACGGTTTCAAGTGTTCACATTTCGCAAGTATACCGCCAAAAAAGGCCACTAGCCCAAAACCAGTTACTTGACTACTCCATTATCGGCGCCCCCAAACTCCAATCTCAAATCATCCATGGAGCCATCTCCCGATAACCAACTCTCTGCAGTCCAAACCCTAGACCCGGCCACAAATCCCCCTGCCGAAATCCCGCAGTCCGATCCTCAACTGACCGACGATGCCAATCCAGTTGGCGAAAAGCGAAAACGCGACCAAGACGAGGAGGCGGAGGGAGAGCAATCTGCGAATCAAACCGTATCATCAGACTCCACGCTTCACCCCTTATGGAAGACCAGCCTCTGCTCGTACTTCAGGCGGAACTCGGGATCCTGCAGCCACGGAAGCTCCTGCAGGTACGCTCACGGCGAGGAGGAGCTCCGTCTCCGTCCTGATAATACGTGGGACCCGACATCCGAGCGGGCGAGAAAGGCTAGGAAGACTGAGAATAGTGCGAACTGCGAGGCTGGGGGAGAGGAAGAGGACGAGGTTTTGATGACGGAAATGGTGGACGATGATGGTGATGGTGGTGGTGGTGGTGATAATAGTGAGTGCGTCTTGGATCCTGGGTTTAGTAAATGTCTGGTGCATTTACCAAGGAAATGGGATTCAGATCAGTTGAGGAAGTTTCTTAAGGAGCAGGTAAGGGACCTCTCAGTGTTTTCTGTTTTTTATCTTTTATTTTTTTTGGTTGCCTTCTTGTTTCATGTTATTTTAGTACTTGTTATCTTGAAGATGATGATGGAGGAAATAATGTATATCAATACATTAAGTTGTATAAATTATGCATGTACATGCATTATTTCAGTAAAATCATTGTGTGAGAAACTAATAACTTAAATCTATATGCATACGCAAGTCTCCATCCTAGATAAACAAATACATGTGTGTATATGTATGTGTTTGTGTGTACATATATTTATATGCATATATGCGGCACGTTTTGACTATATTATTAGACAGAAAACTGGTAGTTACAAGGAATATTTTAATGGGTTGTTTTCTTTTTCAGGCAGTTCAGTTTAAGTCCGCAAAGAAAAAGAAGGGGATGATCATTGGTTTTGTGGGGTTTGAGAGTGCAGAACAATTGAACACTGCAATAGAGGTGCTTCCCGTTTTGCTCTTGTATGTACAGCTTCATGTCTCATGAAGTTACTGATAGTGTTTTCTGATTGCTGTTTGGAAATTTCAATTTCTTAGGTGTTGGAAGGCAAGTCTATTGGCAACAAGAATCTAAAGGTTGCGGATGTCCTTCCCCGATCCTACGATGAGAAAATCAAATCAGCAATGGCTGCTGCAGTAAAGCCTTCATTGGCCGGAGATTCTGTCACATCTAATGCTGCCGAGGATGAGACAAATGATGATGTTTCTGCACTTGATTCTAAAATCTCCAAGGCAAAAAGATGCCGTGATGTTGTGACTCCCCTCGCAGACATGTCATATAGTGAACAGTTGGAACACAAAAAGAACTCCCTACAGCAAATGCTGAAAAAGCTTGTTGGAAACTATTGCTCTCGTTTTATTTTTATTTTTTAAATATTTTGTTACATCATCAATCTTTGAAATGAGCTGATAAAACTTTTCTTGGCAGACTAAAAATGCACGCAAAGCTTGTCCAAAAGGGGTTTCACTTCCAGAATGGATTCTGAAGGCTAGAGAAATAGGTATGACCTTATGGTATATTCTTTTGGAGACTAATTGCATTTTACTTGCTTATTACAGTAGTCTTCAATTGGAAACTAACACGCATGAAGAGTTTTATTCTTTTGATTGGTCTAAACATTTCTTGTGATGCCTTCTCTTTACTAGATAATGAAATGTTTCATGTGTTTAAGTTAATTCCTTAAATGGTTCCTATGACATCCTTCTCTTAAATACTGCAGGTGGTCTTCCTTGCAAACTAGAGGGTATAATTGAATCACCCCTTGTAAATGGATATCGTAACAAGTGTGAGTTCTCCATTGGATATTCTGTACAAGGTAGACCAACTGTTGGGTTCTTGCTTGGGAACTTTAGGTAATATGGACTAACTTGTTTCTAAAAGTAGCCTTCATCGCACTGTTGAGTTAAATGTAAAATCTTTGTAGGGAGGGTGTGACAGCAGTTGAAGAACCTTTGGACTGCCCAAATGTGTCTAGAATTGCTTGCAAATATGCATCAATATTTCAAGAATTTATACAACAATCAAGCTTTCCAGTTTGGAACAGATTTAAAAATACTGGTTTCTGGCGACAGTTGACAGTAAGTGTTACTGAATCAATGCATGAATGCACCTTAAATTTAATTTTTGCCTTATATTCAACATTCAGTGTCTAAAAATTTCATACTAGGTTCGAGAAGGGAGAAAACCAGTGGATGTCACTGGTGTTGAAGATTTTGAGGCAAATATTTCAGAGGTCATGCTTATTGTTCAGGTATGTGTTTAATCTATAACCTTATTGAATTGTGATAAGATATTGGATGTAATATCTCATTATTTTTTTCTCTTCCATTTTCCTGGATCTATGTCCACTGCATAGATTTGTTCTCTGGGCTTTGATGATGCACAAATAACAACTGAATTTGCGAGGCTGGCTAAAGCATTTGCTGAAGGGGCTAGAGGGAGTT